AATATTAAAAAAAAATCTACCGTGGTTGGATGGCAGATCTTCTTTATGTCCCACTCTAAACATCCACAGCATCCTTGCAGCCCTAGTCATTGATGCTTGGTGCTTTGGCTCTGATAGCAATGAGAGTTTCTGTGTGTCAGGAGGGCAGCTGGGGAAGGCTGTCTCATCCCCAGAGCAGTGCACTGGCTGCATCTAGCCCTGCAAGCTGAGCATGAGAACTGTTAAGCACAAGCCTTTGGTTAGATGCTGCTAGACATCCTCTCTTCTCAGCTTTGTAAGGTAAACAAACACCCCATCTCTTTAATAACCATCTAGTTTATTAGACAGTCAGATGAGTTCCTTACCTCATCCATCATTTTTATTTTTATTGTGCAGGCACTGGATGTACATTTGAATGTGTGTGCTTAAGAGACCAGGAATGAGAGACCTTTTTATGAATCTGACCATGTATTTCTCAAAAGGCCATTACTAGGAGAATATCGCATAAATAATGTACAACTGCAGATGTCCAAGCCCTGTTTTCCTGCAATAGTTCATGGCTTCAGAGACACTACTTTAAAAAATGTTTTAGGGAGTGTTAGAAGCAGTCAAGAGTAAGAAGGAACAAGCAGTTAGCATTTTAGAGCTGAGCAGTTAAGGTAAAATGGATATTTCTGCCAGTGATTCTCTCCTTTTGCATGTGCATGCATTCCCTATCTTTTTTTGCTGTCACTGGATTTGTTGTAATCTAGATTTGCTGTCTCCCAAAGATTTCGCTCCCCAGCAACAGCAAGTTGGCAAGTGTTACTCAGCTTCTTTGCTGATGGTTGTTTTAAGTCAAGGCAGAGATGACAGAAAACAGGGGAATATGACAGTGCCTTTAAAAAAAAAGGGGGGGATGTTGGTCCTGGGAAGACTGTTTCTGTCCCAGTGTCTTGGTGTCTTAAATGTTCTTCTCTCTCTAAATGTTTAATATAGGGAGAGAGGGAAACTTTTTTTTATCTTTCTGTGCCTGCAGCCCCCATTAACTCAAACAGGGAATAGGCTTTTAAGTACCCTGCATGTATAATAAATACATGCTTCTTTGTAAGATGGCAGCTTAATTTCATAGCTGGCATTAAACCTTCTTAGCTTGGTGATAGGCTTTCACTGTCCTCCATAAACCTGGCCTTGGCCTCAAGTTTGCAGAAAGCAGTCTGACTGGAACAGGCTGACTTCAGTGTCCTGGAGGTGGGATAGCATTTGATGTCCCCTCATTACCCATGAGACTTTCAGGGTGACAGCTCATGCCAAGTCCCATACTAGGGAAGCTGGCGGTATGGATTTCCCAGCTGATTTTGCTGGCTGTTGAAATACACCCCAACTGTTAATATTCATGTTTATTTTTAAAGGGAATTAAGTGCTGTTAGAGTGGTAGCCTAGAGGAAAGAGCCTTTCTGGGCACTAGTGCTAGTTAATATTTTTTCTGCTTAGTAGACAGATGTCACTGAAGCAACTTTCCACAAGGCTGTTGTCAGAACCTCCATTTAGTGTCAACGTGTTTGCTATTCTGATCCCCTCTAGCTCAGGGAAGGTATGGTGGTTCTGGAAAGGGTTCAGAGAAAGAACTGGGTCGGCTGGGACTCTTCAGCATGTAGAAGAGGTGACTAGGAATCTCTAAAGCAGTGAGGGGCAGGGAGAGACTGCAAACTGCTCACTGTTTCAGCTTTCAGAAGAACTAGGGTCAGCAAACAAAACTAGTTGGAGCCAGGTTTAGATCAAACCGAAGGATGTGCTGTCTTCCACATGCGACATGTAGTCAAGCCACAGAACTAGCTGTAGGATGTCAGTCAATAAAAGTTTATGAGGGGAGACATAGCAAACTGGTGGAAGGGAAAAACCATTGTGACTCACTAAGTACAAACTCTGTGTCTGTCTCTGCAAGTTTCTGGTCCACAGCTGGTTGAGACATGAAATACATGGGGTAAAGAAATATGTGCTTATTCTGTCCTCTTCTGCTCTAAGCTCTTGCTTTTGGCTGTGGCTGGAGGTGAAACAGATAAGTTAGGCTTTAGGTTTGCCCCAGTATGTCTGGTTTATGTTCTTCAGGATGTAATGGAATAGATGAGACTTTCCTAGTGACTACTTCTAGATCTATGCTAGAAATGAGAAAAATCTGTTCTCCTTGCTATTTCAGTTGGACTGCTATCATTGCTAATGACAGGCCACCGAACCACAATCATCAGATGGCAGATTTTACTTCATTACATCTATTTGATGTCAACTGAATAAAACCTGTTATATTTGTTTCACTCAGCCTTTAAACACCTTTCAAACAAGAATGACTACTAATTAGTTCTGTATTCTGGTAGTAAATGCTGTGACTGTTCAGTTCCCAGAGATTTTTGTTAATATGTGCAGAGAATTTTTTGCCATTTTCTATGGCACATTACAAACGTGTGTGTGAATATGTACATTTATTCTGTGTAACTTGCATACGTAACTGCAAATGTATGTCAAATAACATACTCCTTAAAATACACTTATTTTTTCTTTTTTTTTTTTTAATAAAAGTGGCATGTTTTTTTGATGACATGCACAAAAAAACACTATTTTTTTTTTAGAGTAATTTTTAGTGCTAGTTTTGAAAGACTCAAAGGAATTGAGTGATCTTGGTTTGACTTTGTACACTCAGGAAGCTTTGGGTATTTAGACAGAAAAATTCCTGGAATGTAGTTCTCTTCAGGAGAATTTTTTTCTTTTGCTTATTATATAAAACGATGATAGGGATTTCTGCCCCTGTTTTTTGCTTCCCCAAGCTGCATGAATGATCCTCCTCACCTGAGGGCCAAGGTGTGAATTGCTGTCGGCAGACTGTGGGTAAGCGGGGCCCCTTGTGATGTAAGTGGTTTGTTAAGAAGCCTGCAGGCCTCTCGCTCAATGACTTCTCTGTCCACGTACAGCTTGGGAACAGTCATGGGGCCTTTTTTTCAGATATGAAATCTGTCAGCAAAGTGAAGTCAGCTTAAATATCAGCTGAGGCTTGAGCTCCCTTTCAGTTTTTGTTGACTTTATCCCCTCCTGCTCCTTCCTGATCAAGTTTCTCGCTGCTTGAGTCAGACTTGCCACCACTTAAAGGTTTTTACTCTGTGCTTCGGTTGTGTGGATTTGTGTGTGGCAAAATTCAGGTGCCCTTCACATTCCCAGCCTTGACAGTGATTTGAAATGCTGGAGGGGGAGACCATTCTGGGTCTCTGAGACTCTTAAGTTGCCACAGTTCGATTAGAAACCAGTAGAAGTGCCTTTGGTACCCAAAGTGTGCTGTACTTAGGTGATGCTGTGCAGACCTGCTGTTTTTTGTCTTAGACCTGCTGTTTTTTGTCTTGTACCTGCTGCTACCAAGCTGAGGAATTCAAATTGTGAATCAGCACCCCTTCCATTCCCCAAATATGGAACAAAAATTACTGTCTGCATCAGAATTTATCACCGAAATTGTAAGTCGTAACTTACAAGGTGGGGTACAGGCAGTCAGGCAACATACACAGAAATAGTGAGCATGTGTTAGTTGTGTGCTGAGCCTGTCCCAGGGGCAGGATGCTGAGGTCATGCCATGTCTACTGGCTGACTATGCAAACATCTGCAGGTTTGGGATAAAACTGTGGTGTCATTGCCTGTCAGTGTTGAAGCATTTTATGTACTGAAAGCTTGAGGGGATTCTTGGCTGTGGCAAGGAATTTCAGATGTTGTGGCTTATTTATAAAAAGAAAAGAAAAAGCACAGTAAACTGCAAGGGAGAGGGAAGCTAGGGAAGGAAAGAACAACTATTCCTGCTTCTTCTTTTTTGTCACTCTCTTAAGGATAAAAGTCAGGAGTTACATTGTTGTCTTTTTTTACCCTAGACTTAGACATGTTTTAAATCCTATGATCAGCTGCCTTGACTGCTTTCTGCCCTGCATTCATACTTCTTTTCTTTCTATGATACCTTCAGTGGTTTCCAAAGTTGAAATAATTTTCCTGCTCCTCAAAGGGCCAGAGTGTTTGAACACACGTAATATGGAACTTCTGGTTGTTGAGCCAAATAGGTCTTAACGTCCCATGGGTACTCTGTTCATGTCTTCCTGCTTTCGTGGCTGGTCCATATAAGAGGCAGCAGCCTGGCACCTCTCCATGCATCCATCACTCCTCTGCAGGTAGTAGTTGAAGAGGCAGCATTAGGGCCAAAGGTGCCAGACTGGCTGCAGAAGCCACTTCTGGGCTTCTTTCTGTTCTTTGATGCGTGCCATCTGTGTACTCTGTTCTCTGGTTGATGATGTCTTTGGAAATAAACTTTTCTGTGTAATAAGCTATTAAGTGACCTATCCCTCAGTAGAAGCAATGTTGGGTGCCCTCTGTTTTCCAGGTGAGGGCAATGGTGGAGTCTGCTGGAGAGGTGATGGCAGCATGGGTAGAATGGGATATCCTGTTCTGTTCCTGGCTGAGGTGTGTGCAGGTGCTCTCTGCACTGGAAAAATTATGTTAAAATATAACCTTATTTTCCTCTTGGGATTGTGTTGGAGAGATGCTGTTGAGAGGGAAAAGTGTGTTGTAGTCTGGAGAAAAAGATAGTGGGACAGGGCAGGGTGTTTGCTTCCTTTGTTTAACTGGAAAATACAAGTTGCAATTTAGGATCTCTCAGTATATGAAAACATCATCTGGGAAATGATTACCCTGTGACTGCAGTAATAGTGACTTATTGTTGTCTGATAGCTCTGTTCCAAAACCCAGGTGAACAGGAATAGTTTTTTCCGCTGTTCCTGGCTTGCTGGGCACTTGGAAGTCAATGTCTATAATCCATAATCTTGTGTCACAGCTAAATGTAGGAGGGAGCTCTCGACCCAGAAGTCCCTGAGTCCCTAGGGATGTAAACATCTGGTGTTTGCTGAGAAGGAAATCCACAAAGGTCTCCTCATGTGAAGGATACCCATAGCCTGCTGAGCTGAGGAAGGTGATGTTGATTTGACTTTTTTTTTTCCTCCCCCTCCAACCTCCCTCTCGTCTTCCAGACAAAGTTCACTCCTGTGACCAGGAAAGGCAGAGCGCCCTGGAGGAGGCCAGGCAGAACCCCCGCGAAGGTATCGTCATCCCTGAGTGTGCTCCCGGAGGGCTCTACAAACCAGTGCAATGCCACCAGTCGACTGGGTACTGCTGGTGTGTCCTGGTGGACACGGGACGCCCCCTGCCTGGTACTTCCACTCGGTAAGAGCTATAGGCCTGGTGAGATGCCTGCCTGGAGAAGATGAAATAAAAAAAAAATACTGTTGCTATGTTAAATAAGTTTCTACTTCTAGAGCAGTCAGCTCTGTACTTACTTCCCTGGAGCCAGGAGTGCCGTATGTGATGTTCCCTATTGAATGTTACTATGCAGCTCCCTCTCTGTAGGAGTTGGTGTATAGTAACTACTGCCCTTGCTTTCCTCTGTATTAAGTACTCATGCAAAGCAGACTATTTTTGACTTGCAGTTTTTGGGTGGTAGCTGGAACCAGGGCTTTGCTCAAGAGTACAGATCAGGAGCATGAGCAGTGAAAAGACAAGTGGCTTTGTTGCGTTATCCTCTGCTTTATACTTCCATGCCGCAGCCACTTGGATCCTGACCAGTACAGATTTAGAAGAGTGTTTGGTTGTGAGTTGACAGATTTTAAGCCAGTGGTAGATTTTTCTTTAAGTTACTCTGTATCTTAAAACTACTGGGGGAATCTTTTCTCACTTGGGGTTTGGAAAAAAATGTGGTTCTGGCAGTTATAAAACCAGGTCAGTAGGAGTTGGGACCTGAACTCTGCTAGATACAGTGATTCTGCAGAGCATGAATGGCTTTGGGAAAAAGCTCACCCTGTGCCCACAAGAGTTGGAAGAGGCCCTTGTGCTGTTTGTGAGTTTGGGTTGGTTTCTGGGACTGGGCTTCAGAGTATGCTCTTCCTTCTCTCTCCATTGCTGCTGCTGTTGCTGACTGTCCATAAACAGACAGATGCTTGAGAATAATAGCTCTTTTGCAGGTTTATTGTTTTCTCCTGCAGTAAGCAGATAAGACACAACTCCTTAGCAACCATCTGATGACACTAAAGCTGTATCACATAGTTGAGCATCTGCTGTTCTCCTTTTTCAGCTATGAGACCCCTGTGTGTGAAAGCGATGCCAGATCGAAGAGCACAGAGATTGATGATCCGTTCAAGGACAGAGAACTTCCAGGTCAGAGAGGAACAAGATCCTGTCTCTGCCTTCTTCCCTTGTCTCACCTTGGGACTCTTAAAGAGGCCAAGAATATTGTTGAGGAGATGGGGGATTTCCCTCACCATGCATGTTTTACCATGGGTTTTATTCGGTGTAATTTTGGATCACCTCCAGTTTCAGCAGTGAATTGGAAAAAGCTGGGAGTGTCCTGGGGGACAGTTTATTGCTGTCTGCCCTTTGAAAACATGTCTGGGATCAGAATTTTCAGGAAAGAAACCTGGATGCCTGGAGGTCCCCTGAGGGAAGAATGGGCTCAGCATTGAAAGTTCTTCTTCAAAACCTGGCCAGGACAGGATCCTTTCCATTTAGCAGGACTTTTCAGCAGCTTGGTGCCCCCAACCAATGAAATAGGACACACCTGGAAATTGTCAGGGGACCAGCTGGCTCCCTGACACTGCATGGACCAGGCAGGTCAGCATTCCTGGTGCACTAAGGTCCCTTAAATAATGCTGGCTCCTCACTTAGCTGGACTTTATCCCTCATTTTCTGCCTGGGACCCACTTTATCTCCCATTGCTGCTTGTTTTATGTTCTGTTTTTCCCCTCTTAACAGAGTTGACAAGCCATAATAATTTACTGTTTGCCTACCTTATTTCTGCTAGGAGGATATGCTGGGCACAGGTTTGCAGCTCTTAAAAATGCTGTCCTAGCTGCCTGTGCCCTGTTTTTTCTTCCTGCCACCTTTTGAAGGAGCAGAGTGAAGCACCCTCACTGACAGGTCAGCCATTGCTCTCCTGGGTGGGAGCTGACTGCTTGAAAACAAAAGCTACAGTGGGTCCCTCTCCACCATGAAGGAGTGGTAGAGACCGAGAACTCTGCAGAAAGAGCTGGTAGCTCTGGATCCGTTTAATTTTCTCCTGGCTGTTTCTAGGACTAGCATAAAGTGAGTTGTCCCTGAGCAGGTTAGCAAAGGAAATGAGATTTGTTCCAGATATGCCTTCTGTGTCTCCTAATTCTCCTCCTGCTGGCTCCTGACCTCAGGCCCCGTAGCTTTCTGCTTAGCGACTCTGCCCTCAGCAGGGCTCTCTTCTATGCAGCTCCTCATTTTCACAAGTCACATAGAAATTTCCTATCTGCCCCCCTCTTAGATTCGAATGACACTAGCCAATTGGTTCAAGTATTACTCTGGGGGCTAGGGTGAGGGAAACCAGCTAAATGATTGCATTAAGGCTCATTTCCTTAGGAAATCATGCTAAAACACAATAACATTACTTCCTTTCTTCCTCATCCCCTTATCCCTTTGCTTTACTGCCTCTCCCTGCACTTCCCCCTAGCCTCCCCAGAACTCCTCTGTGAAAATCCTTTGCTCTTGGGCTTTTTGTTTGAGACTATCTTTCTGATCTCTCAGAGAAGACAGAATGATTTTGTTTCCTTTTTCCCTTCCTTTCTGCACTGCAACTGGATGAGGGGGCAGGAACTGCTTGACACAGAAAAGGACATATGACGCTCTGTAGCTTAGTGGTCTGGTCCCAGCATCAGACTCCAGGAGAGTTCCCCTCTCAGCTCAAGCTACTTTTCTGTGCCTGAGTAAACTTTCAGCTCTGTGCTTGGCTGCATTGCCTGGCATGATGGTTCCTGTCACTGAAAATATCCTTGTCTGTGGAGAAACTAGGAGATGGAGGATCTGATCCTGGTTTGTCTGCCTGAGAGATGCTGTGCTGCATGATCTTTTGATACAGGCTTGAGGTTTGTTTGATTAGCTGCTCTTGTATGCAAAAATTCACTGGTGAACCAGAACTGCAGGGAGTGAGAGAGGACGTTTCACTTTTTTCTGCTCATTTCTTAGCAGAACTGAATATTAAGAAAAACTCCTGCTTTAATTTGAGACTGATCATTCCATTTGCACTCAATTCTGCAAAGGGGACCCCATACCTTATTCTTTTTCTAGAGGTTTGCCCATTCTTCAGACTCTTACTACTGTAGGCAGTGTGCTCCTTGGCCAGTGTGAAGAGACCCTGCAGAAGCCAAGGTGGGGGAGACATAAGTCCACATCCTTGCATACCTACACATACCCTCTTCGCAAACTCTGTCATGGCTGTGGCCAGAAGAAAGAAAGAAGGAAGGAAAATGTTGCTTGCACATAGCAAATGGCAAGCTGCTAATTCCTGCAGACGGTGAGATGCTGAGGCCCCAGGGAGATGACTTCTAGCAAATGGTTTTTCAACCTTCTCATTACTGCAACAAAAAGCTCCTTTAAGTGAGTGGTCTACTCTGGCTGCCATAGCAGCTTACCCATTACAATGCTGACATTTTCTGGACCATGTGCCAAACAAGTGCTGAAGGGTGTGCGTGTGTGTAATGCACATAATATGGAGACAGGCAAGGGACTGTTGGTTAGCTATTGCAGAGAACTGAGCCTGTAATACTGCAAAGGAGGGAGTTTTGTCAGATCAATTTGCAAGCTGCTTTCAGCTGTCAAGGGATTACAGTAAATTTCTGGTGCTCTGTTTGGGGTGCACGTGCTTCTCTGCTTGTCTGAGAAAAGCAAAAAGTGTTGATGCTGCTGTGTTGCTGAGGGAGGCTGTTTTCTGATGTCTGTTGCCTTAATCAAGTGATTAGTGCATTGTTGTTTGGGAAAGAGAAGAGGTGAGGGATTTGGTGATGGCTTCTCTGTCATATCAAGATGGGAGGAGGTGGGTTTTGGACAATAGTGTTGGAGGTGGTGGGTTGAAGTTAACAAGTTATGCTTGTTCCTGGACAGGCTAGAGCAATTGTTGCAGTATTAATGTGGCAGTGAATGAGACATGCTTTTGGTCCTTTAAGAAGCAAGGAAACAGCATAGATTGCTTCATAGAGGTGAGGAGATGGAGAATTTCATCTCAGCTGTGCCATAACAGGCTGGCACTGTTAAGGATAGGAGGCTCTGTCAGTCTGTGGTTATGATGGTGGGGAGCTAGACTACCTCAACACTAGGTAATGGAAATGGTTACCAAGTTTGTCTTCAGCCCACTTTGTCCTGCCTAAGCCAGCAGTGACTGGGAGTGATTACCACGTGTTGATTTAGACTGACGTATTTCCCATGCAGTGCGATCATGCAAAGAATTGAATTATTGTGGTAGCTGCTGGCAGGCAACACTCTGTGCCTGAAGAAGAGAGTGCAAGAAGCAGTTCTCACTTTGGCCCGTGCTTTGGGAAGCTTTAAGCTGTCAGTTAGGACCTCAGAACAGCCATGTTTGCGGAGGAAGATGATCCAGGAGGTAATGAGTTGTTTTGTAAACTTCTCTGCAAGTGTCACCATGGGAACTCCCGTCTGCCAGGCGCTTCCAGCACATCCCTGTGGTTATGCTGGTAGAGAACTGGGAGAAGCCATAAAGCTAACTACATGGTCTTCCTGCCAGATATTGTTGGTGACCCTGTGTGTGCCTGGACAGAAGCTGCAGGACAAATTGCAATGCAGAGAAATCCACTGAGGGATTCTTCTGCCTTTCCTTAGGGACTGTGATGATGGCTGCCACGTTACAAACAAAGGAGGTTCTGGCTGATCCTTGCTGAACTGGGGTAGGAGACCAATCCTGTGAGTGCTTGCATTAAACCTCCTCTTTTCTTTCTGCAGGCTGCCCAGAAGGGAAGAAAGTTGAATTTATTACCAGCTTACTTGATGCTCTGACTACGGACATGGTACAGGCTATTAACTCAGCAGCACCTACTGGGGGTGGGAGGTGAGTCCAGAAAGCACTCAGGCTGAATGCCACCAAGGTGGCTGCAGAGCTCTGGGTGCCTCTGAGGTGGGGTGAGAGGGAAGGATGCTGATCCGCACTGATTTGGCTTCCACTGGGTTGCTGGGAGAGGAGCTGAGGCTGCGTCTTCAGGCACTTCTCTGTCCTGTCATCCCAGCCCTGCCTGCCTCCTCCCGCCCCTCCTCCCTGGCAGCTGCTCCGTCATAAAGGTTAGTATAGTCCATTTGAAGTGTGAAATGAGAGCTCAGTGGGAGGAAGTGGCTTGTTCTTTTGTCCCCTGGTGCATGAAAAGACCTAATAAAATGCAAATGGATTGAAGGAGACCGTGTGGCCTAGTGGCTACCACAGGGAGTGAAGAATGCGAACCGAATTCTTGGCAGTACCAGCGCTGTGGTTTTGCTGTGGGGTTGGAGCCAGCCTGCCGATGAGGAGAGGAACTGTTTTTCATGGCCCTCCCCTCTGACCAGCTGCCTGTTCGTCCCTCTTGGAATGAGCATCAGGTCAGGCCTGTTGCAAGAGGTGGGCAGAAGTCTGCATTTCTGGGGAACTGGAGAAAAGCTGAGGTCTTGTCTCCCCCTTCTGCTTGATAACAGCAAATCCCCTTAGTGCAGCTGCCGCAGTGCTGTGGCAGGACAGGTAGGACAGGCCATTGAGAACGGACTGTGACAGTTGTAAAAGAAGTGCTATATTGCCTTGGCTAGGCAAGGCTTCTATGGTTGAATTCCTCCAACTATAAAAGGAGTCAGTGCTGGTTTAGCATGCAGGGATGCCACAACAACTAACATGCTCATGTTCATAGGGGTGTAGAGATGAAGGAGGTGCCTCTGTGCATGTGTTACTTCCATGGGTATTGCTCCAACCCATCGAGAGTAATGTTGATCCCCTGCTTTCCTCTTTCAAAATGTAGAAGAAAGCAGTGCCATCCTTACTCAAAACAAAAAGCTTCTTGGGTGGCACTTCTGTGCCACTTGGTTTCAGTATGGATTTCTTGTGAGCCCATATGGTTTTAACTTCACATTTGGACCTTACAAATCAGGCCAGTGGCTGAGTGCCTCTGCACACTGAATATTCTGTAACCCATTGAATTAGCAGTATATGCCTAGCATGTCTGTATTCATATAAACAGGATGAAAAATGCCCCTAGGATGGGAAATACGTTGTTCTCTCCCAGCCATAAGCATTCCAATGTCAGTTCTCTCTAATTTGCATGGTTCAAATGCAGTGGGTAGGGGTGGTGGGAAGCCCTGGAGAGTATTTGATATTTATTTGGCATCTTTGGCACTGGAACTGAAACTCAGCCAATGTAATCATCACTCTTAGAATAAAGCTTAATATAAACTAATATTGTAGACACCAGAGATGTATGCCCCCACTGCACTTCTATAAACCAGCAGGCTTGCTTCCTAATGTTCCCCAAGCTTTGTGTATTTCTCAGCTTTCAATAGAGGCCTTTCTGGTAGAATTTTGCACTGCCCAGCTCTTCACACAGTCGTCATGTTGATTTATTTTCAGCTCCAGTGTTGGCAGTCCAGTTGCAAGGGGAAAAAGAAATCTTTTAGCAGTCTGTCCTTTGTAAGGTGGAAGACTGCTACCACCCAAATACTCTGCCTGCCCACAGCCACAATTAAATTCAGGAAACTACTCTGGAGTGAACTTCCATGTGCATCAGTTAAGCTAAGCAGATACCGCAAAGAACACGTGTCAAGCTTTTCAATCCCACCATGCCATGATGGCACCATTTATTTTGCAGAAAAAAAGCATTGCAAGGAATTTATGTTACTCATATAAAAATTAAATCAATACAGCTTTCATTTCACTTGAGTTTGCGGAGTTGGGAAGCTGTCTCTGTGCAGTGAGTCCTGCTTTTCAAGTTGCTTAATGGGAGAAATGTCATGAGTCTTCTCTTCAGGAATATCTGAAATTGTCTAGGTGACCTAACATGACTTTGGCACCAGAAAGAAAAGTTATTTTCCAAGGCGATGGGATATTTTACCTATAGGGTTAACCATAGCGCTAATTCATTTCCAACCTTAACATCTAACAAAATGCTGGATTTATGACAGGGCTTATCCTGTATCTCCCTGGCCCAGGTTTGCTGAGAAGGTCATGTTGAATTGAAAAGCTGTAGATCTGGCTATCTGATTTTTCTTAATGTCAGTTATGTCACTTTTAATGTCTTAATGACAGTTTTCTTATTTGTGAGGGAAGCTTTGATTATTGCAGGGTCTTCTCTATCTTTGCCATAATGATGGCAGAAGAGGTTCTGCACTGAAACACACACTGGTTCCCTCTGTAGCCTCCCTCTTTCTGTTCCTTTACAGCATTCAGCATTTCATCCTCCTGGGCCTTTTTTAGACTTTGAACAAATGCATCCAATGATCCAAGGTAAATTTTTACATATCACCAGCAAAGCTTATGCCTGTTGCAGGGGGCAGGCCAGGCAAGTAGCAAGCCATACCCCCATGTCAGTTGGCCCCATATATTGTCCTAAATATTTTAATCAATCAGAGAAGCAGCAGGTAGGAGTTTTAGGGAAGGGGGAGACTATTCCTATTTCTTTGTGGCAGCAGAGAGAGGATACTGGCATACAATATGTGTCTTTAGTAACAATGTTAAAATATGGGACCAGATGCAGAGAAGAGCCTTTCCAAAGTGTCAAGGACTGAAAAAGCCTAACAGTGAGACTCTTAAGGAGTTCAGCCTTCCTTAGGGTATTAAAAGAAAGAAAGAAAAAAAAAAAAAAGGTTGTAAGATGATTTTGTGTAATCTGAATATCTCCATAGGAACAAAAGCTCTGCAGGCTCTTTAGTCTAGCAGGGAGGAACACTATTAGCTAAATATAAACAAACTTGTGATCAAAATTTCTTTAAAGCGAGGTCAGTTTTAAGTCAGAATGAAATTATGAGGGAGGTGACAGATTCCCTTTCTCCAAGGCTTTCATCTTAGGCCTGATGCCTTTCAGAAAGACTTGCTTTAGTCAAACCCAAGTTACGGTCTTAAGAGTAATTTGATTCACATTCTGTGAGTATGATATACAGGAAATCAGATTAGATTACCCTGCCGCCTTCAGTCTGAATCTGGACATGCGAGTGAAAACTTCTTGCATTTGCTGAGTGTGTTCATCTTCAAGACTTTACCTATTTATGTTACAAAGCTATCTGTGGCTGTGTAATTAATGTCCATATTAGCTTTTTTTGGAGGGGAGGGGCAGGGGGGAAGCAACATGAGGAGAAATTATAGAGATCTGCATTTAAAACACTACATAGAGCTGTGCTAAATTGCACACTTTATACTTGGCACACACAAAACCAATCTAGTAGCAGCAAAGTGAGGCTGTACAACTTGGATTGCTGCAGGCCATGTAAATAAAACCTGATAAGACTTTTTTTTTTTTTTATTGGGCATGCTTAAAACAACCTTGTAATCCCTTATAGGTCTTGTCTCGTTTAAGCAAGTTCAAAGCTATTGACTTTAATTGAGTTACTCTTGCTTTACAATAATGTAAATGAGATGAGAACTTCCCTTCCTCATGGCCCTGGTTTATATTACAGAAAAATAGCCAAGCAGACTTCGTTTAGACTTTTGAAACAGAAAATCTCTGGTAAAATTCATTCTTAATTTTAAGTTTATGTAATAACTCCAAGGCACATCTTGTTACTGTATGTTTTCAAAATAATTAAGGGAGTGCTTGTAGGAAATCGCTTTGTTAACCAGTGTTTCGTTTCCTTTTTGAAAAAATGCACAGTTGAAATTGTTCACTTATCCTATATAATAGGAGTAGAACTTTTTAAAATTTAGGCTTCACTTTAGTACATTTTAGTCTATTTTCCAATTTGGACATATTCATATCACACAGGGCCTAAACTAAAACATTTTAGTTGCCAAATGTATGCACTATGGCTTGCTACATTATCAGCAAAACTATTACTGCTGTGTGGAATTTAGGGTTAAAAGGGCAGCTTACAGCAGCCATCCTTATCATGTAACACAGCGCTATGTCCCTTCATTTTAAGTTGCCAATTATTCCCCATGTAATAGCCCTAAAAAGTACTTCAGAAAACTGCCCCCGAGGTTCCCTTTCATGCTCTAGTTGAGCAGTTTGAAGCAGGCAAGCACAGCTCAGCACATCTCCAGGGTGTTCTGAAGCTGAGCCATGTTTTAATAAAGATTGACACTTTCAAACAGTGAAGGGAAGTTAATGCCCAACTCCTATTGCATTTCAATTGAAGTTGGATACCAACTTCTCGTTGTGCTCCTATGGAAATTCTAGCCTAATTAAAGGTACGGGAGAGTTTATGTAAGAGGAGGATCTTTGAACAGTCACTGAGGAGTGAAGAGAGGAGATTCTTAAGCCTTCTGAATGATTTATCCCACAATTTTGAGAAAAGTTGTGTTCAGAAGAATGTTTCATACACAGCTTAGCTGGAGGAGAGGAAGAAACTGGGCCCAGTAACAGGAAGATAACTTGTTTTAACTGTAGAGGAATTATGCATTCCCTGTAATGAATTTGGACTGTGTAGTATCCTTTTGTTTAGTCTGAACACAGCTTAGTTTTTTGTTGGCTTCTTGATTCTTTGGCTGCAGGAGAATAATAAAACAAATACAGGATCCTTTTGCAATTCCATTAGAGTAATCCTCTTTGATTCAAGCCATGTTCCCACTGTTACAGCCTTTAACTTTAGAATAGACAACCACGAAGAGCAACAAAAGGAGAGTAAGAAGTGAAAGCAGAGCAAGAACAATTCTGAATTTTACCTCAGTTTGTTAAACACGTTGCTTTCCACCACCCTCTGCAGGCACCTTGGTGGACATCATCAATGCTGTCATGGGGTAGGGTTAGTCCTGTCATTTCTTTCGCTTCGCTCTCATCTGTTCTTCATTCAGCAACAGCACCAAGCTAGGTACATGTCCTTGCAAAATATTTGCAAGTCATAGAAACTTGCAACTTTAACTCCTGTAGACATCCTGACCACAAACATACCTTGCATGTTAGGAGTGGAAGGTGGACTAGTTTTGTTTTTTTTTTTTACTGTGTTTCTTCTGCTAACAACTTCTTGTCCATCAGTGTTCTTTCATCCTGGAATAGCTCCCGGTTTATAGTCTCTGTTTGCAGTCCAGTTGGGTGATGTTAGGCTGGTCTTACTCCACTTCCCTCCTTCTGCCTCAGCTGCTATTGTTGCTACATAAAGTTTGTATTACAAAAGAATAGATTTTCTTAAGGTCTTCAAACAGGTGATCATCTGCTGGGTACTTCAAATTGCAACCTTGCTTTCTGTCAAAGTGGTATTTTGTATTGGGATTTTCTGTCAATGCAGTGGTATTGTGGTTCCATGCAGCCTGTGCAGTGGGATGCAGTGGGGCTGCAAGTGTTCAGGGAACAAAGGATCTGCTTTGGTAGGAATGGACTTCAGTTTACTCAGTAAAATTTAGTGGGACATACTACACTTCAACAGCACAGTTCTATGACGGACAATGTGATTACACACTGTACACAGTTCTGTATGTGAGTAACCTCCAATATTTGCTGCTCTTAGGTTCTTTACCCAATATACCTCCTCCTCTTCCCTGCTCCTTCCCACTGAGTTAACTCCTCCTTTCTTGCAAGGGGCCTCAAGGGCTGGAAAGCATTACAGGCTGCATGCAAAGTGCATATTCAAGCTGTCTATTTGATATTTTGCCATAGTCTTCTCTCTCTGCTCCAGAATTCAGTGCAGCTGCAAAAGTGCATGTCAATGTTTTTTCACAGCCTCTTTGCTTTCTGTCTGAATCCCAGTTACACCAGATGATATGTTCTGTGAAAGTGCATCTCGACTGGAAAATCAAATTGTTAAAATTGTTAAAAGTAACCTTAACCCACATATCTCCAAGCATAAGCGACCTAAGAAATAAGTATTCTCCTCCTATGAGGGAGCTGATAGCACATTATACAGGAGGAGGAGTAAAAGCCTACTTAGAGAAGATTATATACTTGATGCCAACAAATTTGTAAGAAAGCTGAGAGAGCAGGTTCCCTGTCCTAGGCTGTTAATGACAGACCATGCTTCTCTTAATTGCTGGACTGTGGGTGGGCTTACGCTGCAAAATGGAGCTAAACTTGCTGGTTTATGTGCAGAAGCGATCTAGCAATAGCAGGTTAGATTTGGAAAATCAGCTTGCACAGAGCTCTTTGCTTACCCAGCACTCATTCTTTAGGATTGATTGTTTTGCTGTAGAGTGCTAAAGAGAAACAATTAGGGAGAAAAGTAAGTACAGCTGTAACGTAGTCAACAAGAGGAGACTGCATTTTCCTCAAGTCTGTCTTTACTAGGTTGTACAAAGCTGCTGCAGCACTGGTGTGAGAGACTGGAATTCAGCGGATTTTGTGTGACTGGTGTTAGAGCAAGAGATGATGTTTTTCTGGGAGTTGAGAATGTACAAAGCAGCTTTGTTCTCTCTTTGTTTTTCTGATTCCTTTATGGTCTGAATGAGTAGAGAAGCAGCCCAGGAAATCAAGTTTTCATCTGAGGGCTGATATATTTCTTTTGCAACAGCAGTGAAGAGGTAATAGAGGGAAATTCCCTTGGAATACTCCTGCGAAGTCTGTGCTTGTAGGACAATTAGAGCCCCCAGATTTATTTCAGCTGATCCAGCAGGTATGGTTGTTGTCATGGCACATCATCAAAGCTAGGTGGCTTAGCTGTGCTGTGAAGTTGCATCAGTTCATGTTTCATGAATGGTGCATAAGTGTCTTGCATGGGCAGCCATCAAAGTCAAGATAGTTACATACGGTATTGTAACCTCAGCCTTCTTTAGTGTATCATGTAATTTCATGAGCCAGGGAGATATGGCTGCACTGGGATGGTGTGGATCCTTCCTGTGCTGGAATTCTGGATGATCATCAGAAAGGGCAGGCAACCAACTCAGGAACTACACTCCTGCTAAACCAGGCAACATGAAGTGGTAAAAACTCAGAAATAGCTCTATCTTCCTTCCTCCTACAATCACATCAGTTAAACTAATTCCCTTTTGCTCCATTAGCATGCTGCAATTTTCAGCATGAGCTCTCAGCATGTTTGTAGTGGCAAAAATTGATGTATCATCACCTCATGAGTCAATATATTTGTATCAGCTGGTAGATTTTCTTTATGACAGTGCTGAAGAGAGCTGTATTGCCTCTTTCAGTAACTCATAACAGTTCCTATTTGGTGTGCCTCTGAAAAAGTGATGCTTTTAGGTCCTGCTTCTGAGTGTCTCTGCAGCACGTAGAGAGAAGCTTGTGTTCCTGTTTGTTGTCGTCTTGCTGTTGGTTCTAAGATGCTCTGCTATTACCTCCATTTCTGCCTTTCCAGTTGTGGGCCTTCAGGAAACAAAGGGCAAGCCAAGGTGTGGACAAGGGGAATCTCACATGCAAAAGCTCAGGTTTTATTCCTCTATCTCAGCAAAAGCAGAATATTGTCCCTTGCAATACATCAATTTCATGTGGCTGTTAGAAACATGCTAGACTTCAGATGATGGCCAGCTCATTTCCAAAAAGGAGAGAGGCCAATTACTGTGTTCATAAATGTCATAAAAACAAGCCACAGGATGTGTTTTTATTCTCTCCTGTCATCCTGGTCTTCACATACAGTTTGAGGGCTTTTGAAAAATCTGGGCACTCCCTTAGCTTCCTGGGGAGATTTTTGCAATATCTGCTTGTCCAGGGGCTTGCCTTGTGTTTTGGCTCCCAAAACTAAGCCAAACTATCTTCCTCCCCCACAGTGTTTATCCCACTGTACATTGACCAGATGCTGTAACTGAATGCCAGGCTGCTTCTCAGCTAAGAATTAAATGATGAAGGAGATAGTTTCAAGCAAAACCTTGGGAAAAATGTTGTGCAGTTTATTTGCCTCTCCCTACTGTGTGTGTTTACTTGTTTTGAGGATCCAGATGTCTCTGGATAGGGGCTATCTTTCTAAATTGTATCCTCATTTGTAAAAGCTGTCAGAGAAGGTTAATGGGGATCTCTGTTCTCTACCTAAGCTCCAGTGCTTGCTTTCTGCGTGTTGCAGACTTCCTTTGCCAGTGATATAAATTACCATGGCAGTAGGGGTGGGGTTTTTGTTTTTCAGGCTCTGTAGCTGCATTTTACTGGCAAAACTGGTCATACCAGAAGGTCAAAAGAATTTTCTCCCTTCTAATTCCCAACAAATAAATTTTCAGTGACCATTTAAATATATATCCTACCAGTTTCTGAAGCAAGGTTGGTGACAGTCTTAAAGTGCATTTTATAAGGTACCTGTGTTCATATTCCCCCGTCAGCTAGAATGCCCCAAACTCACACCACAATCTGGCTGCCTGCAGTGCATAATGGTCCCGCTCTCACTGCTGGAGAAAGAATTAGGCAGCAGCTGGAGGTGTCTCCTGGAGTAAGTCAGAGCAACCAGTGCCAGTGTAGTGTGTCTGACTACCTATCCGCTAATTTCCATGCACTGAAATGCTTTATTCTTGGGAGGAAAAAGGCTCAAGTCTCAGCCTCATTTCAGCTTTCTTTGTTGGCACGCTCATCACATGGAGAAGATGGACTAGCTTAGTGCAATTTTTAAAGAATTCTTCTTTAGAAGGAATTTCTTTACTAGTTTTCTGTATCACTGAAAAATAACTCCTTCCCCTGCTGCTGCAGAGCACCAGACACCACTTAAGTGCCTGTTCAGCGATGGCTTGACGTTGAATAGCAGTATTCTCTATTCAAGCATCTTCAGCTGTTGCTTTTCCTCCTGCTCCTCTTCTCCTCCTCTCTGATATTGTTTGTTGTTGTCCACAGAAGGAAAACGCGGGCCAAATAACGTCAAACTTGTAATATCACAATGAATAAGAAATGAAGCAAGTTCCGTAGTATTGCTTTTAATGGATTTGTGGTGCTTGTCTGCTGTGGAATTCTTGTGTATAAATCAACCATGTGAAAAGCATTAAATATGCTGAAAATACAGCACAGGAGTTCAGATCGTATAAATAGATACAGCAGGAATGTTGCATCTTGCCAAGGACATTTTCAAATAATGAATGTGTCTTGCATTAAATGAATTTGTTCCCTTTCTGAAGTCTAGATGTTACTATCACAGAAACTACCATGACAGCTGACACTCATGGCTCTCCTACTGGTAACTTGAATGGGAGTCCAAGGGTTGAAAGGACCATGGAGATTGCCTCTTGCCCTCTAAAGAGGGATCCTTCTGGGATTAAGGTAGAGTTTCAGCAACTGGTGTGAGGAGAACCAGAGCTACTGAGGGTACCAGAGGAATCTTTTGGTACCACTTGTTAATGCTAAAAGACATTTTTAGAAAAAGTTCATCTCTCTCAAAAGAGCCCAGCTAAAAGGAGGAGATTGTAAGACCTGTGTGTTTTGCCTGCTTTAAATATGGCATGGTGTGCGTGTGACTCAGTGAGCAGCTCTGGCTCCTCGACATGTGCTTGACAGTGTTGGTGAGAGCACCCACTTGTCGGGGGCCTGTGCTTCCTCTGTTCCAGGTTTTCTGAGCCAGACCCCAGCCACACGCTGGAAGAACGAGTGGTACACTGGTACTTCAGCCAGCTGGACAACAACAGCAGCAATGACATCAACAAGCGGGAGCTGAAGCCTTTCAAGCGTTATGTAAAGAAGAAAGCCAAGCCCAAGAAATGCGCCCGACGTTTCACTGACTACTGTGACCTCAACAAGGACAAGTCGATCTCACTTCAGGAGCTGAAGGGGTGCTTGGGAGTCAGCAAGGAAGGAGGTGAGTGCCTTTCCTTCCCCACTTCATGAGAATAAAAGACTTACGTGGAGTTACAGCAAACTCGGGAATCCATAACTTCAAACTCAGGAATCTGTTTTCTCCCAGGTGATTCAAAAGTGCTACAGTTTGTGTGGAAAAATGAATGGGATTAATACCCTGCCATGCAAATGTAGTTTGTTATTTGAGTTATGGCTCTGTCTTGCATCCCTTATCATGGAGCTTTGTGCTAAGCACTATACAGAAACAAGGCAGAAAGATGAGCCTTGCCCAGAACCCTGCCTGTACTGTAGAAGTCTTTGGAAACTGTAGTTCAGATCAGGTCCTTTCTGAGTAATACACTGCTAACAATATTCTGTTGTCTCAACCATGTAGGTTGGATGATGTATGAGCCAGCACAGACCCAGTCTTTCTCCAGAGACCCTGTTGACTAACAGAAATAATATTTTTCATTGCTAAATCCAGCATGCAGGAAAGTAGATGACGCAGAGAGAACAACTCAGAAAGAAAGCGCAGAGCTGTACTGTTGCCTTTTTTTCAGAGTTAAATTGCACTTTAAGGTTGGGGGAGAAATAGGGGATATGAATAACCTATTTTCCTTTCTGTTTAGTGCCTGAGCAACCAACCCACCCTCCTTCCTCTTCTTCCTCTTTCATCTTCACCTCATCTTCTGTTGGGACCTGGACCAAATTGATATTTTTGGAAATTTTATGAATTGAAACTGCTCAACCCAAATTCAATAATTATCAGTCATTCTTGACTGTGGGCAGACTTGCTTGGCAGGAGAAGGCAAACAGGGACATTCCAGGGGACTAATTTCCTGTGCAGGTGTTTTGGCTGTGCAGACAGCTCTTGTTATAACCATCATGCCAGTTGGGAAGGGTGGGTAGCTTTATTTCTCCAGGCTTAACCTTTCCTTAGTACTTCCCTCAGGTTTAGCATGAGTGGGAAGGGAGTCACTGCATATGGTTATTGGGAAGTTGCCTTTTCTAGGTGTTTTGCAAACATCTTAGTTATCATAATAAGCTGTTGCATTACTTGTCAGCTGTGAGAAGCATTCAGCTTCCCTAGCTTGGTGGAAGTTTTTTTTCTTAGTCATTGGTACCTTACTGAGGAATGACATACCAAAATAGCAACCCCGTTCCTTAATTTTATTACCTTCCCAATAAGATGAATATGCCAAATGAGTTTTATTGCTATTTGGCCTGGAATAAGACACTCTGGAATCTGCTGCCTCAGCCAAGCGACTGTTCAAAATTTATTTTATGGAAAGGGGGGAAAAAAAAGAGAGAAGGAAGAAAATGTGGATCTTTGAGCCCATGTGAAGGGGAAAAAAAGCAGCAAGACATTGTTGTGAGTGCCTAATTGCCCAACTATTTGCTGAGAACACAGCCTTGACCTTTCATGGTTTCTTTCATTGTATGAGGACAGGATTGTGTGTAAAAAGGGGCTCTGACCTTGTTCTATCATGCAGTTCCACATACCTACTAAAGGACTGATAGGCCTTGAGGATCAAAGATAAATGGGTAAGTTATGTGGAAGGAGGACCGAGGGCAGCTAAAGGATGGTTAGGGCTAAAAAGCAGTAGAGGGGACAGTGCAGGGAGTAGGCACTAACATGTAGGAAAGAACTGAGAGCACTCTAGAGGTGCAGCAAGCAAGTTTGTGATGGATCTGTTTTAAGAAGACATGAATTTGTGAGATGGTAGATGACATGTTTGCTCTGCTTTCTATTCACAAGACCTTCTAAATTAAGGAATAACCAGTAGCTTACCCCTTCTCCAACTTCCCCGTATCCTGAACATGGGTGCATGTAGTCAGTCAGCTACTCTGTGTATTTACTTTCTTTTTCTTTCTCCATACCATGGCCTTCAAATATCTGCTGGGTTTGAGGTCGCTCTGGGTCCAAGCCAAGAGCTAGGTGGGAACCTTTTTGATGATGCCAGTCATATGAAACCAAAACTTTTCACAGAAGTGTTTCTGTTTCAACAAAAGATTTGCTGGAAAGGTTTTTCTGGTCTGGATTGGATGAGGAAGGGTTGGAGAGAGGCAAGCAAAGTCATCATTTCCCCTTTGATATACTTCATTACAAATGAACTTGCCTCAGATGTTCCAAATCCTGGTTGGGTATCCAGCAGCATAAGGACTAAAATTAAGTGGGTCATCATTCCAGGTGAGTGTTTCTCCTGCTAGGCAAACTGAATACTTGTAATGATTTTGAAAATAAAACTTAATACAAATTTTGTGGGGTTTGGGATGCTGAGGAAAACAAATGTTAAGGTTTGTGCATTTTTTGTCAGTGTTTTGCTTTTAGGGGATTTTTGTGGCCAGTTCCATCCAAACGTGGAAATCGTGTTGCTTGAAGGAAGCACAGGGCATAGATAAATCAGCACCATTACATGCCTCTTGGGCACTAGATAGTCTAAATAAATAAGATTTATGTGAGAGGATTCAGCTGGGATATTCATAAGGACAAACCTGAATCTGAGCTCTTTCCAGCTTAGGATCAAATCTGTCTGAGATGCATAGTTCTATTGGTTTTCCCCTCCTCAGCAATTTCTTGATGCCTGTGGTAACCTAATATGTGGGTGCTGCCTGACAGTGGTTCTTCAGTGAGGAAAATAGCTGTCCAGTCCACCAGCAACCCTTCCTCTCTTCCATCCTTATGCTGACTCATTGTTTAACCCCATCTGTCAACTAAGCCCTACACAGATACTTGCTCACTCCTCATCCTGGTGGGATGGGGGAGAGAATCAGCAGAGTAAAAGTGAGAAAACTTGTATGTTGAAATAAAGACAGTTTAATAGGTAAAGCAAAAGCTGCATGCACAAGCAAAGCAAAACAAGGAATTAATTCACCACTTCCCATTGGTAGCCAGGTGCTCAGCCATCTCCAGAAAAGCAGGTCTCCATTGTGTAACGGTGACTTGGGAAGACAAATACCATTATTCTGAATGAAAACATCTCTGTATTATCAATACTGTTTTCAGCATAAATCCAAAACATAGCCACAGACTAGCTACAGTGAAGAAAATTAACTCTATCCCAGCCAAAACCAGCACAATGACTCAGTAAGTTGCCAAGAAATCTTCTAGGTCTGTGGCCACTTCACACAGCTCTTGACCCTCTGATTAAACCAGTTGAGTTTCTGTCAGTGGCAGCTTGGATGGAGAAATGCCATTCCTGGATCTCAGAATGGAGTAGCCACATAGAGCCAGCCTTTGAGGGCTTGCAGAAGCCTGCAAATGGTTTCTTAAACAAAGGCAGAACAGGCAGGGAAGGGCTCAGAGTATGCCAGAAACAGTCTTTGCCATTATTTGATCTAGGATTGTCTGTTTGAGGAATTGTGGAAGGAAAACAGACTGATTTACAGCCTGTTAAAAGTTAGTATTCATCAATGCAGTCTGCACAGCCTGAGTTAAAGGGGGAGGCATCTGTGATCAAAGAACAAATTTAGCTTTCTGCATAGTTAAAAGGCAGGGTCCTTGAGAGGAGATAGACATGCACTGTAAAGCTTTTCTGGAAAGTTGATGGACCCAAGATTAATTGAAGTCCAGTGATCTTGGAGAGGAGGACTGTAGATCTGAGCAAGGCTTATACTAGTTGTGCTGGCTGAAAAATGCTGGAGCTGAGTTTTACCTCTTTATTCTTCCAAATTCAGAAGACAAAGTCAGCATTTTGTGCCTGCCTAAAGAGGAGCTAAGGGATTAACAGTGAAGAAATGTCCCTCCGCCAGCTGACGGGAAGTTCAGATCCCGTGATTGCTTTGCCATCCAAGAGCTTGTCAGATGGTAGGTGTTGGGTGTGCTTCACAGGCCATGAGGACTTCTGGTGTGGAACCCAGCCACTGTCTGTGTCAACAGCCAGCTACCAAGAGCACAGTCCAGAAACAGGATCAAAATGTCTTCATTAAAAAGTGTGCATGTATATGTAATTAAACAACATGTCATTTTCTACTGGAGCTGAGCAAGTATTACAGAAAGAAGGAAAAATAATGGACAATCTAAACAGCACACTTAATTCAGTGATGTTTGTGATCCTTATTATTGGTATCCACAGAAGGAACTGATTCTCTGCATGCTTAGGAGGCTTCTGGAAATGGGATGCACTGTATCGATGCTGTGTGAGCAGTTGTGTGGGAGCATCACCTGGGAAAGGCCTCTGGACTGATGATGGTAGAAAGCTGACAACAGTCTGCGAGGCTATGAGAAAACTGTAACCAAGTTATGTCTGAGTTAATAAAAAGGAAATTCAGAGTACATCTAATTACAATTAGATCAGAATGTAAACAAGCTTCACTGGTTCAGTGCTTGGTTTTGTTTGTCTTAGATATCCCCCAAGGGAGCTCAGTAGAGGTGCTGTAGTTTGTCACCTTTAATCTTGAGGGAAGTTATCGGTGGTTAGTATGAATCAGGACATCAGTGGTATATTTAGATCATAAGATAAGGCTTGTGGTAGCATGTTCCTCCCCCATCAAAGGTGAGAGCTTTACTCTGTAAGTTCTACCTGTAAAAAGCTGCCAGGGTTTCTTAGGGGCTTTTCCTTTTGAAAGACACCTGGCCTAATCCAGTGTGGCTGTAATTGTTACCCAAAACAGTGTACTTGTGGGGCTGAGCAAATACTCTGCAGTATGAAACTTACTGAATGATGGGATGTTATTGTACTACCCAAGGGCTTCCTAGGTCTATATTAGTAACCCACTGTCACCATCTGCCATATTCCTTCCTCTGTTTTCTATCAACTTTATGCTCGGTGCAGCATTGTTTTGGCAGGGTTTTGTCATCTGTAGGTAAATGTGGCTGGCCTGTGCTTATAGAGAAGGCAGCCAGCTGAAGGCGATGCTCTCCGCCTCGAGTGACAGGTGATTTAAGACCTTCAGGGCAGTTTCCCCGCAGGGATGTGTGGGGCCATACCCCTGGTGAGCACAGAGCCCGACCTGGCTGGTGGAAAGGTGTGTCCTGCCCAGCATGGAGCGTCCCGGCCATGTCAGGTGGCTTCCCTGCCTTTTGTATCAACTTACCTGCGGCTCCCTGCCTCTTTCTGGAGGCAGATGGGTCTCATTCTCAGCAACGCACTGTAGGCTTAACTGCACTGGACGCAAAAGGGATTTTTTGGGGATGCCTTCTCGCTTACCCGGGCAGCGGCCGGCCGTGTGCGGCCCTGGAGCGCCCTCCAGGGCCCCGGCGTCCGCGGCAAAGGCCCTGGGTTTTTATTGCCAGCCCCCCTGGGAGAGTCCCAATTAGCTCCGGAGGAATCTGCCTCTTGGCAACGGAGCTCTGCTTTTTATACACGGGCACAGAAATAAGTGAACAACGGTTCCTCTGATCTCGCCAGGGCAGATGGCCGATAGGAGGTGGGCATTTGGGGGCCTTGAAATAACTTACTGTGTTTATACAGTTTCTCTTATTAACGATCTCCAAAGCCAACAGGTCGTGCTTTGTGACCCGTTTCGAACTGAGCCACCACCACCTTTCTTTTCCCCCTCTCTTTCCCTTCCCAGGGGTTCTGCTTCTGTCCAGCAGCCCAGCCTCCTGTCCCCGGGGCTCCCCCAGTCTCACCCCGGCTCTCTGAGCTTCTGCTCATCTTGCTCTCACAGAGAGCAAAATGTGCTTTAGCTGCGAGTGTGCAAGTACTTAATGTGCAAAGCAAGCTGTGCAGTCAGGTCAGACAGATGCACAAATCAAAGAGAAGCCGTAGGCTGGGCTGGAGTGAAGGGTGGCAACAGGCATGCTGCTGCTGGCTGGGAGCAGGAGTTCCCATTTCCAGCTAATCCCTTGTCTGAAATCAGACCAAGCAGCTAGCAGGAAATGTGACATGCTTTCGAGAGCGCCTGTAATCCCCGAGCTGTCTGTACCCAGCACATGGTAGGAGCAGGTTTATTGTTGAATTGAGAGCCCTTGCCATGAGCTCCATCTGGTGTAGGGTGCATGTGCCTGTATCTCATAACGCAGTCACAGCTCTGCAGTCTGTCCCTGCCCTTCTGCTGGGTGTGAGTTCAGGTCTTTGACTTTAGGCACTTGTTTGATTGTTTGGTCTAAGCTAAAGATTTAGTAAACTTGGTCTGTCTGTGTTGCCTACACCTTCACTCTTTTCTGGCTGCCCCCTTCCTACATGACTTTATTTTGCTTGCTGTTAGCAAAAACTGTTTGGGGAAACTTCATGGCACTACTTGCATCCTTCCTTTCTTCTTCTTCCTCCTTCCACAGTTTAGTTTAACCTTGTAATTGTTGCTTCTTGCCCACACCGAACCTCTGGATTTCATGATGTTCAGCTACTACACCACCAGGTATTTAACCTCTCTCATCTCAACCACATTAGTCTGACTCTTGCATGTGAATCTTAAGGAGTGCTGGCAGGGACTCACTGTGTGCACAATCAGAGGAGCTCCTTTGAACTGTCATTGAACGGCATTTATTGCCTTTAACGTGGTTCTTGGATTTTACAGGTAGCCTGAGCAGTTTCCCCAATGGAAAAAGACAAGGCCTTAACCCTTTCAGTGAGTATCCTGTCAAAATGTTTCCTTTTTTTCTGTGATAACCATATGTCCCAAAATTCATTCTCCCCTGCTCTCTTGTATTCACAGATAGCAATATAGAAACATCTGGAAGCCAGTGTTCATAAGAAGTGTGAATATAATAACATGCAGCTCCACTGCAGCACTGTGTCTTTAGCTGGGACAGACAGTACATTGCTAAGGAGTTAGAACAGGATACAGCAGTTATGAGATGAGCACTCTCCTACCCTCTTTTGTGTGCTTCTAGCAAGCATTGATTTAGGTGATTTGTTGTGTTTACATTACCTTACTCCGTGGACAAATTCCCATGAAGACTCTTCTCTTTCCTGGTGAAGGTCTGATCTCCTCTGTATTCACTGTGGCAGTGAATCACACCCTTTCAGGCATGAAGAACAACTTTTATTTGTTTTGCTTTTAGACCTGCTGCCTCATGGTTTCACTGGGTGCTTCTCATTTTGGAATGTGAGAAACAGTGAGCAGTTCTCCCCTGCCTGTCTTTCTCCTGCCAGTTGTTGTTCTACAGCCCTCCAACATGTCTGGTTAGACTCCTTTCTGGGTTGGAAAGACCTAGGCTGTCTATTTGCTTAATGACAGAAGTCTTCCCATACCTTTTGCTATCCCCCTTACCTTTCTGGGTACCTTACCTCGTCCTGATGAGTTGGGCTGAACAGAGAACTGGAGAAAAAGATCAGCTAAACCTTATACATTGATGTAGTGACGTTTCCTGGAGTGTCCTCAGTTCTGATTATCTATTTGTTTTTTGTCTGCTGCTAAGAGCTGAGTGGAGGCATTGAAATTACTGTGTACTGTGACTTCAACCTCTTTCCTAGGCACTCAGGGTGCTCCAGTGTAGGATGGGTCATCCCTGCTCACACACTGCATTGCATGTATAGGCATTGAAGTCAATCCGCTAATTTTATGAGCTGGCCGTTGGGCACTGTGAGCGCCTTTTGCAGAGCTATGCAGTCAATTTCAAATATGACTATCTGAAATAATTTTGCATTTGACCATATTTACACCCCCGTGGAAGGGCATGTCAATGAGCACCGATCCCAGTGAGGCCTCCCTGGTAACCTTTCTCCTCTCTGCAAACCAAATCCATACTTATGCATAGTCTTCAGCATGTTTTCACCTGTAATTAATCCACAGAGCTTTCTGATCTCATAAGAGTTTTGATTCTTTAAGAACCTTTGATGAGGGGCTTAAGAAAATCTTTCTGAAGAAACAAGCATGGGGATGTGCGCATCTATCTGAAATGCCAAGCAGCGCCCTTGCACCCTCCCCTGGGATGCTAATAGCTCAGCAGTGTGATGGGACCCCCAGCTCCCAGCATGCTGTATCTCCACTGCAGATGCAGGAGCTTGGTAGGCTTCAGGGTGCCAGGTGCAGGCAGGTCTCCAACAGCCATCAAGCAGGGAGAGCACTCGCTGCTTTGTGCTGTTGCAGAGGTGGGGAGGGGTGGCTTGCCCTTGCCCTGCACGCCTGCCTCCTTCGAGGCCTGCTTCCCTGCTAGCGGAGGAGGCAGCTGGCTGCGGCTCACGGGGGCGATGGTAGCAGGGCAGCCCAGCACCAGCGGGCTTCTGCGTCAGCCGTGGCAGGTGGGAGAGCAGAGAGAGATGTCGGACCAGTGGTCTCCCCAGACTGCATGCCCATTTTCAAGGAGAGGGAGGGAGAGGAAAGTGGTGGTTTATGTTTAAAAATACGTCAGTCCCTATGGCTCTGTGTGACTCATTCAATGCTTTTTTCAGCAAGGCTGTCTCATTAGCCCCTGGTTGTTTTCAGCCTCACAGCTTACTCTGGGATCTCAGCCTTCGGGGGACGTGACTGCAGCAGAGGCTGTACTGCTGTATCTCTATCAGTCAGGTGCCCTTTTGGGTTTAATTTCCTTTTTTCCTCACTTTCCCTGCTTCTGTTTTGTTTTTGTTTTTTTTCCTCCTTGCCCACCCCACCCTTTCAGTAGGTCGCCTGGTGTAGCAGCAGAAGACAGAAAGGGAAGGCCAGAGCCAACCCAAAGGAAAGAAAGCTCCAGGAACAGACGGGAAAACTCCGGGAACACCTTGCTGCTTGTGAGCAAGCGTGCAGCATCCGCAACATCCAATGTAGCAGAAGTGGCACCCAGAACGTTTGCACTTTTTAATAATTGGTTTGGGTTTGTTTTTAGTTGCTTTTCAATGCCATTATCTAATACTTTGGAGAACGAGGGGAAACAGGATCATGACTTTTTAAAATTGGAACAGCTACTGATGACGTAAAATTGAGTTCACTGGGACTCAAAGAAAGATAATTTTATATACTGTATATAAATATATATGTAAATTGTACAGTTGTCTTGTACAGGGGTTGGAGTCACTGTTCCGTTCCTCCCTTTGCTTTTGAAGGTTGTTAGGGTTAGAGGGACACTTTGCATTTAATGGATTTACAGTAATGCATTCATTTCTGCCACCAAAGCATGATTCAGTTGCAAACCTTAACACCCCCATGCAAAAAGGAGCAAATGTATCCGCATGACTTGTGCTTGCAGATGTGCGTGCAGTGCCCCAGATACAAAATATTTCCTGGGATCAGCTGAACTCCTCCTTTTCTTACTGTAAAGCCTTGTGCAACTCAAAGGCAATTGGGCTTTTGAGGGAGCACAGATTTCACTTAAGTATTTGTGCACTGCAAAGCTGCTTAAAGTAGGGGTAGACAAGGGTTGTATTAAGGACATACAAAAGTAGTTTCTGCACCTGTTGCAAGGTGGGCAGAAGTGAATTGCAAATGCAGTACTATCGAGGCTCAGAAGACATGCTTGGCAAAGATGTGTCATGCCTCGGGATCTTAACTCTGTAGGAAGGATGTGGGAGCCATAGGCCTAGCAGAGTCAGCAGAGTGAAGTCTTGCATCTTCCTCTCTGACAAAGTGTTCATCTTTATGTTGTACAACAATAAAAATATTGAGAAGCCTGCTAAAAGGATCATTAGCCTGCCTATTGCTTTGCTGAAGAGCAAAGACCATATTTGTCAGTGCAGAAAGACACAGTTATGCTGCTGGTCCCCAAGAGTCTTGTTTACTTCTGTTTTAACACTACAGCTTGGGCTCACTGCTGAAGGTCTGTCTGCAACGACTATCCTGGCCTTTGGTGGTTGCGAATCCCAAGCTCCTCTCCTGCACAGTGGTGTGCCTGCCTAGCTTAGAGTATCCACCCGATTTGCTGTTACCAGTACCTCCTGTGTTAATCACACTCAGCATCACATTGCAATAACAGCGGAGGCCTGCATTGAGGAGCCTGCTGCTCCTGGAGGCCAGAGGGGCTGTTTCAACTACCAGCAGTTTTTCCAAAGTTGTTTCTTACTTAATCTCAGATACAACTGTAAAGTCAGCAGCAGGGCAGGGACACCCGTATCAGCAATCCTAGGTTTGGGCAGAATGTGATGTGATACAGTGTTTTTGCTTTGTGCATTTCCAACCACTGTCAGCACTTGCCTGTTCATCAGAAACATTCTGAGCAGCCTCCCACTTCAGACCTGGCGATCCTTGTGCCAGTCATCTCTGGACCAAGAACCTGTAGTGGAAGATGCTGACATGCCATGCTAATATGAGATCACACCAACAATTGCTTGTAACAGCACTACATTATTGTAGACACTAGGCTCCTACTTTGAGGCTTTGTTGCTTTGGTAAAAGATGTTGCAGCACAGCATCTTCACTCTGTGGCATGTCATCATGATGACAGCATGGGGTAAACATATCACAGCAAAAGTGTCCTGATGCAGTAAGTTAGTGCCTTGTTGACAAAGTGGAAAGTTTAAAAAAAAAATAAAATCTTTCTATAAATAACTGTTCAACAGTAGTAATAACTCTTCCTCTGGGAAGTAGATTGCAGCTAATTAAAGCATCTGGCATGGTTGAAAACACCTCTGGTAATCTCTGAAGTATACATCACACCACCATAATATAAAGAAGTTGTCTCTTTAGCAAGAGCAGATCCCACTGCTGGACCTTCATGGTTTCTCACATACAATGTATGTGGTTTTTTGCCTTGCAGGCTCCTATCTTCTTGATTGCATCTTCTCTTTTTAAATGCCCAGGGTGCATCTTCGGTGTGTTGAAAAGACTCGGTGTAGTGTATAGTTAGAAATGTCCCTGTTGCTCATTAATCCTGTTGTAGGTGTAAAGAATGAATCCAACCGTATAAAAAAAGCCCCTCTCCTTTTAAAATATACTAGTTTTAGGAATTAAAATCTCTGGCTGCTGGGGTTGGTATTTGGTTTGTTTGGGGGTTTTTTTAATGCAGCCAATTGGATGTCTATAGGAGTTCTGTCGGCCAGCCACTGGGGCTGGGCAATGCCCCACGAGACTGGGTGGGTGGTGCAGAGCTGCTAGAAGTCACTGCATCTTTTCTTGAGGAAATGTCAGTAAACCAGCCAGCCAACATTCCTGCCTGTCACATAAATCCTTCTGCAGACCTCCTTTTTCTCATCCTGGTGTCCTTCCCTTCCAAAAGGCCTGCATTCACATGTAGTTTGCAATTCAAATGGGTCAGTTCTTCAAGGGAACCAAACAAGGGGATGGTTGTTGACATGAGCTTTGTTATTGGTGGGTATTCATGTTGCTGTGCTAGAGCAGACTTTATGGATGGATTTGGGTCCAAGCATTATATTACCTTTGGTTTTACTTCTATGAGACGAGTCTAAGTCAGCACATCCTGACTTGCTGGGTTTGCACAGGCCTCTGAGCAGCTTCTGGCAACACTTGTACATTGGCATGCAAGACCCAACCAGGGAATCAGGTAACATCCAGTAGAGGTTAGGTTACTTGTTCTGGGTTGGTGTGTTGAAAGATCATGCAGACATGATTCATATAATCAGGCCCTGATTCCTATAACCCATCCTATGAGTTGTCCAAATAGTCAGTATTCTCAGAAGAGAGCAGTGCCTCAGCTCCCCTCTTCCTTTGTTGCTTTTATCGCCAGATAACTGGCCAGTCCACCTGGCTGAAAGGCTGAACGTGTCCTTATCTGGTGGTGGTAAGCAGTCATCTGCTCTGCCTTGCATCAGTAGCATCCTACTGAAGCTGGGACATGGGGTGTGTCAGCGTTGTGCCTGGAAGCAGACCCTGGGCATGTCTCTCCTCATCCTTCAAGTCCTCCTGGGCCTCTCCAGCTCTACTTTGAATGACAGCTGAAAACAGCTGGGACAGAGAAGAGAACCAGGGCTCCACAGTGCACATCATCCACTCTTCCTGCCAGAAGCAAGAATCTTTCTTTTTTTGCTGATCCTTCAAGGGCATAGTATGTTGGAAGAAACTGTTTTATGGTGGGATTCATCTGTGTGAAGACACCACTTTCCATGCCTGAGTTTGTACTGAACTTACCCTGCCCCTGCACATTTCTGCCTATGGCATTGTTTGTTAGACTGAAAGGCATCTGTTTGATTTTGGTTTTGTAATAAAATAGATAACTTTTGCTTCAGTGTCTTGTGGTGGTTTCTCGTTGAATCCTGATTTCCAGAATTTCTCTGTTCCACATGATATTCTGTTACCTACGCAGTGCCATAGGAGAGGGAAGGGGACTTTTCTGCTCACAGTCACGTGTCCGTCTTTGGTCGGGATCTGAGATCCTTGGATGTTGCTCTCCTGTGTGTAAGCCTCCAGGCTGCATAAAAACATGCCCCAGAGTGCTTCTGTGTGGTTTGATGACAGCTGCTTGAATCTGCCCAGGCTGCTTAGAAAGGCTGTGAAGCTTTAGCAGGAGAGTAGAGGTGACCACAGAAAGTGAGGTGAGGAGAAGTAGTGGTGATCCACAACCAAGTGGGATCTTGTAGTAGTTGTCCTAAACCAGGGATAGAAGACAGGCCCTGCACCTTGCATCTCCTCATCCCATTTCATATGGGCAGCCTTCAGGCTTGACTTTTGCAGGTCAGGCCTTACTACGCAGTAGCCTGAAATAGTATCTTCTAGATGTTGTCCAAAAACTTTAATCCTCAGAGATGACAAGCAATGAGCTATGCTGGAAAGCTGCTGCTATTATCAAACATGCTTTTTCCTAGACTACAGGAAGGTGGTATTCATCAGAGGCTGCAGCACCAGGTCCGTGACAGAGGATGCCACGCGTGGTTCCCATCAAACAGATATGACCAGTTTTATTATCACTGTCTGTCATTTCACTTGATCACATGTAAATCTCTGGCAATTAATAAGGCGCCAACTCATTTATTGCACATTGAAGGGAAGGTTTTCTGCTTGTATCATAGTCACAGGCTGAATTGTTGAGGGACCTGCTAAGACCGTTGTCTTTAGATGCAAGTTCAATGATGAAAGCAGAAAATTCAGGGATGAGTGACAGCCAATGTGGATTTGTTAAGAATAAACTGGCAAACTGAGGTAATTTCCTTGTACTACCGAAGTAACAAGTTTTGGGGCTAAGGAAGGAGCAGTAGTTGTCATCTCTGGAGTTCTGCAAGACTTAATTAAAAATAGGAAAGGAATGTTTCAAGAAGAAAAAGCGATTCTTTGGCCATGTTTCCTGTTTCTGGGGTCAGCGTAAGGTACTCTGAGAGGCTTTCACCCTTCTGTGGCGGTGCAGTCATTCTGTAAGCAAGTCAAAAGCACTACAAAGAGCTTGCTTCTGCCTCTGCTTCCAGCAGTGATATTGCTAGAAGATTTTTCCTCCTTCCCCTCCTCCTTCCCCCTTATCTTTGACATAACTAACAAAATCCACATGCAGAATGCCGACCTTCTGACTTCTCAGCAGCTAGCCCTTACAAGCCATTTCAGACAAAATGACTTGGCAAACCCTCCAAAAGCTGATATTAAATTGGATGGCGGGATCTGCAGAAGTGGCGCTCCTTACTTTGGAAAACACCTTGAAAACAAAGTGGATAAAAAAAAGCCACCACCACCTCAGGAACTGGGAGTATAACAGCAAGTATTTTGTATGGAGTGCTTGCCGGAAAACCCAAGGCTGGCTGCTTTGGGAAGCAATGATGCTTTCTGCCATTCTGTATCCAAGGGCCTGCTTAAAGGTTTTAATGGTGGGTTTTATTTTTCAAGGGTACCTTGCCTGTGCACACCAGGCAGTGTCTAGCTTTCATTCAGAAAACACCAAGAGCTCTGTGCTACGTGTTGTAGCACAAACCTATATCCCCACCTCCTGCAAAAGCATAAATGAATGTTTATTCCACATTATGTTTTCTTTCAGCACCTTGGGACTGGGCTGTCTACTGGCTCTCAGCCCAGGCAGAGGAGCTGTGGCCCTGCTGGGTACTTAGCCAGTCAGCACCCCCTTGAAGACAAGGCACTGGTGGTGGGTGGCACTTTGCTCCCTGCCTGAGCCAGACTTGCACTGGGCTGCAGGCAGAGGGGTGCCCAGGGTGTATGTTGGGAGGCAGAAGGTTGTGGCTCCTGCAGAAATAGAGGTTTCCACACCTTGCCTCCTCTCTGGTGCCAGCAGGAATAGCATGCCCAGGTTTTCTGCCTGCAATTCACAACTAGGTGGCCCTAGTTTGGAGCTCAGAGTAGGTCTTTGGAGTCTGGAGTAGAGATGAATTCAGCTTACCTTACTAAAATAGACAAAGCCAGTCCCAGTACAAAACAGATCCTTAACTCACTGCTTTTTGGTATGTGAACAAAGGACTTGCTTTGGTGAAATAAATTCTGTAGCAACTCTGTGCTGTGCTTCAAGCAATAAATACTGCATGTTTGAATGCCCAGTGTCCCATTATACGGTGCAGCTCTGGCCTTGCGTAGCACCAAGTACCACTGCTAGCTCCCTCAGTCACGATTTTGGCTGGGACCACTGAAGTAAACCCTGCTGACTTCACCATGTCAGGAAAGAGTTGATGCAGCATTTGGCTGAAGAGACAGAGCTATTTCTGAAGTGACTTGGATGGTCTCACTATGAGCTGGCACACAGAGTTGTAACAGACAAAGATGTATGAAGGTGGCTGAAGTTGGATCTGTTCACCTGCAACCCAATGTGAATGTGAATTTTTGCATCTCCTGATTGTTTCAAGTGTTCAGATGTCTGCTGCCAGCTTTTTCTCCTTAAAATGCAGTTGAATACCTTTGTAAAATGAGTTAAAGTACTTCAAAAAATAAAATACCAAATATCAATGAATTCAGAAAACTCGTGGGCAGGATCTGTGAAGAGATGTCTGAAAGGATAAAACAGAGCTGCGAACTGGTAAGAGGTGGGGTCAAAGTCCCAATAAGAAACTACCCTGCTGCAAGGGAAATGAAGGGGGCGCAAGTAGAGGCCCAGTGAAGGGGATCAAGAGCTCTTCAACATCCTGAAGCACGAAAAGTACAAAATGTGGGATGGGTGTTGGAGCATTGTAGATGACGTGAGCTTCCACAGGACTTAGGGATAGGATGGCAACATCACCTAACTAGAGATGAAGAAAAAAAACCTAGGGAATGATAGACCTGATGTCCTAATAACTCTATGTGAATACTTAAAAGAGCAAGCTACTGACCACTTACTCTTTAATCTCCTAGACAGATAGATTTATAAATTGGTAAAAAAATGGCTGAATTGGGTTTGTTGATGTTTTGCTGAGGAGAAATCATATCAAACTAAGTTAATTCCATTCTTTGACAGATAACGAGCCTCACGGCTATGGGGTGTCATCACTAGATGTGATATGTCTTGACTTTGGTAAGGCTTCTGGCACTGTCCCAGAAATTCTCGTAAGTGAGCTGAGGAAACACAGCCTATTTAGACTCACAATATGTTCAGTTCAGTGTCAAAGTCAGAGATCTTTCTGGGGAATTCTTTCCAGTGGCTGTCCAGAGCCCAGGTGTATTCAGTATTTTCATCAGCAGCTTTAGGCCTTTTTTTAGCGGCTTTGCTTTAAAATTTCCAGTGGGGTGTGGGGAGGGTTGTGAGCATCTATGAAGGGTAGGACCACAATGTTTGATAGGTTGAAGAAATAGTCCAAGTCAACAGGATGAGTTTCAGCAGAGAAGCATGTGGTGACCTGTCATGACGCAGCCAGTGTGAGTGTGCAAACAAACACACAGTGAGACCCAGCTGGCAGCAATCCAACGGACTCGACTTCTCAGAAGCTGGAAGAGGAGAAAGTGGAGGAATCTGAAGGACTTTACTATGTACAAAATTTCCTTATGGCAAGGATAGTAACCAGTTGTTTTCCATGCCTTTGTGAATAAAATAAGAAGAAAAATTATCAGTGAAGAAAAAAAAAAAACAAAAAAAACCCACAACCCACCACATTTGGGTTTGCTGTTAGTTTCTACCCAAGATGCTCTTGAAGAAGAGGAGGCAAGCGAATCTCTTTTGACATTTTTTTTTTTTTTTTAAGAGCTTATTGGACAACCATGGTGTTGAGAGAGGCATGGAGGTGCTCTGTATAGTATGCCTTAGTGCCAAGGGGACTTTCTGAGAGCACTTGAATCTTTTGTGTTGCAGTGTGGAGGGGAGGCTGAGGGGTTTTGTCACTGCCAGTGACAACCATGACCAACCTTCCAGCTGTCTGCCAGGGTGCCCTGTGGGCCTGGGGGGGCTGGTCTGTCCCTGCCACCACACACTGCTATGCAGAGGGAAGGCAGGACAGGGTGGGTAGGTAAATCTACGCATGGTGTTAATTATCTACATATTTTTAATAACTCATATGAATACTAGGAGATCCTTAATCTCCTCCCAGTATGGAGGCAAGTTGGGAGCACTGTCTTCTCCCCTGGGCACTAAGCAGCACTGGCACATACAGCTCTGTTATTAACAAGCTGGGTGCCGCTGGCATATGCACACAGATGACAACAGTCATTAAAAACTTTTTTTTTTCCCATAGGTTATTCTTGGTGACAAGTGCTTTCCAGCCTATGGCCAGGGCTGAGCCACTGCTGCTCCCATTTTCAGGCTGGCTCCTGCATCAGGGTCAAGGCTGCAACTGCTTCTTAGCAGAATTGACCCAGAAAACCTGTTGTCTTTTTTTTTTTTTTTTCCTGAGGGAAAAAAGGCAATTCCAGGTGAATGATACGAGGACTGACCTGCCACCACTTAACATAAAAATGCAACTGAGAATGGGTTGAAATTTCCTGGCTTTGAATTGTGGCATGTTCAAGCATGACCAGAGCTCCTGGATGCCTTTCTCTTACTATCTGTATCTGTCCTATTGTGCTGTCAAGAGGTGGATGATGGTCGTTCCTCAAAGGTCTTGTTACTTACACTTTTATCTCACCAATGTCCAGGTGCACCAGTTACTGGGCATCCTCCAAAATGCATTCCCAAAGTGCTATGCTGGTGGGGACATGCAGGCAGGTATCATCCCACTGCAGCAGTGGGCCGGGGCAGCTGAAGCCTGACGTGGCACACACAGGTGTTGGGAACTTCGCCTTGCAGATGGTGCTGTGAGGTCGTGTTGCTACTTGGGGATGGAGGGAAGTGGTGGGGTTCTCCCATACCAGGGACAACTGACTTACAAACCAGTCCAGCAGTCTCAGTCATGGAA